GATGGTGCCAGCTTGGGCCAGTGAAGCAACATCCTCCACAACTAGACTGAAGAACAAAACGACAGCAACTTGTCTGTTCCCCTTCCCCCAATTCCCCAGTACTGTTCCCATCCCCTCAATTCCCCAATAAAAATATTTAAAAAAAAAAAGAGGGGAAAAAACCTGCCAAATTCAGAAAAAAGGCTTTTTTATTAATTTATTTTTACAGTTTGAGAAAAAAAATTTGTTTCATGTAGCTTGGCTTATTTAATTTTTAAATTTTTTTCTTGATTCTGATACATACAAAATTACACAAGGAAAACAGGTGAGAAGGAGAGCTAAGATTTGAGGGTATAATGAGGGTTTATAGGAAATATTTTATATGATTTCTTGGACCACTTTCTTTTCATTTGAACCCTGTTAAAATGTTACATCTCCTCAATGGTTCTAAATTTCATTTTAAAAATGCCAATTTTTATGTTTATTATATTTCTTTAAGTTATATACATTACATTTCTCTTTTATTTTTTAATTATAGAATACATGCTGACTATAAAAAATTCTTGCAATCTGTAAGTAAAACACATAGGTATAATCTTTCACCCCCAACCATATTCTTTCCAAAGGTAGCTATCTTAACATTTTAGCATGTGATTTTTTTTTCTCAAAAGTTATATGCATTTTTGAGCACAGATCTATGATGTGATTTGTGAAAAATTCTTTTCAAAGGTCATCCATTATATTTTCATGCCTTAGCATAATTTTCAATTGCTCAAAAGCTCAAACACTTGATGTTACTTGCTTTTATTTATGTCTCATTTACTTTTCTGTAAGTAGATATAATTTTTCAACAATGCAGTCAAGTCCCCAATCTTTATATCGTTCTTCAAAAATATCAACCTTCTCAAGACATTGACTATTGCATACTGAACCTGAAAGAAGAAGAAAGGGTAACAAGTTAAAGCTTTATGAAGAATGTAATCAGGGGTTCTTCTAAAAACATATCAAATGATTTTAAAAACTGTGTACTGGAGATTTTTCTTTTTCTTTTTTAATGGAAATGGGAAATACAAAGGCAAATTTTCTGAACTCTAAATTGTTATCACTTATAACTCCTAAAAGCCAAAATAAATATACTGTCTCTAGAATTCAAATGTCTTCAACATAAGCATACCACTTAGCTAAAAAGGTATATTACAGACATCTTTCCCTTTTCTTGGATAAAAGAGTCTTCCATAAAATGGTTTCTGACTTAAATATTGTATACTTCTAGATAGTAATAGTTTGAAAACAACTCAAAACAGTTAACTGTTGCCTTTATTTTAAAAGTTACAGCACACATCCGTAACTTACCAAATAATCTTTTAATTTCAGCATCTGAAACATAAAATGGTGGGCCTAGGTAAAAGAGAAACATGGTGAAGAATGATTTCTATAGACCTAATTCTAAAGAGAAAGAAATTCTCAGGGCCCACTTTTTAGCTTATTTCCAACGACTACGTATACTAATTCTACACACAACTTAATTACCCAAATAGGTGAGGATGTGACAGGTTCTTCTTTTGTACCATCTCCTACCAAAGACTGGCTTACTGAGGGAATGGCATTGTTAGGTGCCCACCTCCAGCTGAGATGAGATGGCTGAGCCAGCTCTGGGACTTGGGAACACTGACATCAGAATGGAGTTCATTAACAAATTCTCTTGGGGTTTCTGTCATCTTCTGGGCTATTGATATTCTACAGCTCCTGCACTCACCCATATTCTATACACCTTCCCATTTTGCTGCGGGCCACTAACTTTAAAGAAAACTTGCTTCTGCCCCTTTCTAAGGTTTTCTTCTTGGGCTCCAGCCCCAGAGAGAGCTTGCTGTGTTTTCTTCCCACAAGCCCTGCCCTAAGCCTCCTGTTCAGGAATGAAATTTAAATCAGATTAATAGAGTTGACGTCTGTCTCCATTAATTTCTATTTCCATGTGATTGTCCCAGACTTAAATATGGGCACTAGGTCTCATCTTTAAATGAGTTTTAAGATGATTTATTCAAATGGAAAAAATATTAACATATGTAAATGTTTATAATGTTTTTATTTATGTCTCATTTACTTTTCTGTAAGTAGATATAATTTTTCAACAATGCAGTCAAGTCCCCAATCTTTATATCGTATAAAACACTGGTACTTTTTAGAAAGCTCAATTAAAAATCAAAAGGAATTTTTACAAATTAAAAGTCTATCTATTTGGTTTTCAAATCTTTCTGAAAGTTCAGACCCAACAAAGGTTAAGCTAATGTTCAAACACATCAAAGTGAGTCCAGAAGAAAACATCACTTTTAAAAATGCAAAACAAAGGCAGTTATAAAAGAATGCAATTGATAAATTATAAAATTTTAGAAATTAAACAATAGCAATAGTTTAGCGATTTTCCTGCATACCTCCTACCTCCCCATATCCACTTCTCACCCTATCCTCCTACGAGGGTGTGTTTGTGTGTATTCATAAGCATCTACTCAATTCATCCTCACCCCATGGATGACACGGATATGCTCTACCCATAGCAGGGCAACCAAATGTTCTTCCTAATTCATGGCTCAAGATTTCTCTTTTATCTTAGGGCCATCCATTTCCCCGTTTTATAGTTTGAGCTATGAAATGAGTAACAAAATGGGAAAGGAATATGAGAAAAACATATTTTGAGTGGGAAGACAAAAAAACTGTTTATAGTTTCCAGGACAAAAATAGACTTATCTTCATGTACCTGTATGAGCAGTACACTTCCTGTGGGATAAATCAGAAGAAAATAATGCTATCCATGTCACAGAATTAAATCAGGAAATGAGGCAAATAGAAAAAGCAAAACAAACTGACTTTACCTGAATGTTTAGTTGGATCATAAGAAAGAACACACAAGAGGTACTGAAATCCTTTTCTCATTAGAGACAGCATTATATCTGCATAACTAAAACAAAGAAACAAAACAAAAAAAAACGCATAAGAAAGTATGTGTTACATCTCTCTACAAAGGCAAAGCCTGGAGGGGATGACAGGCAGGGAGGGAAAGCAGCACTTACTTTCACATTACTGCGTTTAATTCTCCTAACAACCCTGTGAAGCCGATTCTCATTCTAAATGTTCAGAAAATTATGTCACCTAAGCTGGAAAATACTGAAGATGAGAGGCAAAATGAGGCCTGCTTCCAGAGCCTCTGAGACCAGAAGACTTCACAAAATGATGAGCAGAGGCTCCTTCTAGCCTTATGTACTCAGAGGCCTGTCCACTTTGAACACATACCTCCCCAAGGGCCACCGCATTCCCCGTGCTCCGGGGCAGTGGTTCCCAGACCAGGCTGGTATGAAAGTCACCTGGGCACTTGCTGAAAGAAAAACTGCTTGAGCTCCATCCCCATAGGCTGATTCAGTAAGTCTGCTGTGCTGCCTGGAATGTTGCAGGTGACTGGGACCTCTCCAGGGACATATGTAAGAGGTACAAGTACAATCTCTTGCCTCTATTTTAGCTGGGGAGAGACAAGACTAACAAGAAAAAATTCCAGGTACTGCAAAAACCAAGTATGCAATGCCTATGCAAGTGTGGCATAAACCATGAGGTAGCAGGTGCCTTGGGGAGCAGGTGACACCACTTCCCAGCCACGTCTGATTGGTTCAGAGTGGGAACATGAGCCTAACGGGTCCATCAGTAGGCTGACAAGGAGCCAGGACTGGGCTCAGTACAGAATGATGAGTTACACCAAATGTCACCTGGTAATATTGGGTTGTCAGAAAAGTCATGACGTATTTTGTCTATGTTTTTCAAAGGTCATTTATTTACATAAAGAACAAAGATCAATCAATGATATATTGCCCATTTTGTTTGATAACCTTTTGCCATCTGAGTTTCATTAATTCCTTGTTCATAGAAGGATCTGTCTTTATTTGCGAAAAACTGAACAAGGTGCTGATTTATAGCCTCATCTGAATTGAACATTATACCACGCAACGAGTTTGGAAGAGAGCGAAACAAGTGGAAGTCTGACAGCGCAAGGTCAGGTGAGTATGGTGGGGTGTGACAACACATCCCATCCAAGCTCCAATAATTTTTGATGGGTGATCAAACTTGTGTGTGGTCTCATGTTCTCACGATGGATACAACTCCTTTACAATTAACAAGCTCTGGATGTTTCTGGATGATAGATTCATTCAAACTGTCCAATTGCTGACAGTACACATTCGAATTGATTGTTTGGTTCCTTGGTAGGAGCTTGAAAAACATGACACCTTTAAAATCCCACCACACTGAGAGCATAACCTTCCTCTGATGAATGTTGCTTTTGATGCCGTTTGGGGCAAATCATCACGTTGGGACCAAGACCACTTGCGCACCACACTGTTGTAAACAATCCACTTCTCATCACCAGTTATTGGTCGCTTGAAAAAAGGATTGTTTTCCTCACAATTAATGAGATATTGCAGATGTTTATACATGCCATCAAATGAACTTCTTTGAGTTCATGCGGAACCCAAATATTGAGCTTGCTTACATATCCCAGCTTCTTCAGGTGGTCATGAACACTTGAATGATGGATGTTCAATGTTTCTGCAATCTCTTGTGTTGTGTAACATGGGTTTGACTCGATCAGTGCCTTTATTTTGTTGTCATCAACCTCGGTGGGCCTGACATTCTTGTACATAATTGTCACTGTAAACTTTATGCAACTTTTCACAAGCTTGACGTGTGTTCTTCCCTTTATGGAAGTAAAACAGTAAAATATGGCAAAAATACACAGTTTGGTCTTCCATCTTCAACTTGTTGTAAAATCTCCAAAACTCAACCAAATCGCTCAGTTTTTTTTTTTTAGAATGAAGCTAGAACTGTCAGCTGTCAAATGACATAGCAGTAACATAGATGCAAATGACTCTAGTACTTCCAAAAATGAACTAGTGCCATCTGTTGTAAACATGCATCATGACTTTCCCGAAAACCCAATATTAGTGGAGGTAGTGATGACAGCATTAGTAGAAATATTACAATTTTGCAGAGGAGTAACTGAGACTTAGAGAAGATGAGTGCTTTGATCAAGGTAACACAGCTTGGAAGTGAAAGAAGTCACACGCCTTGTACCCAGATCCCTATAGGCCAAATCCTATACTTTTTAGACAAAAATGGTATTGGATTTACATCTTCTAATTCCAATATAATAAGCTACCTCAATTCCATAAAAGTATAGCTAATTTTCTGGAATACAGAAAAAGTACGGCATACTAAGTTAAGAAGGCTAAAAAAAAAAAAAAGAAAGGACAACATAATTAAAGAAACCAAATTACTAACCGTTGACGATCACATGGGTTAATAGCAACTAATGCTCCTCTATCCCAAATCCTGTCAAATTTTCCAATATTTGCTCTATCAGGAAGAAAAAGAAAAAATTACATTTTATGTAAGAAAAATCAAGTCTTTAACAAGACAAACAGTATTCCCCACGGTGCATGCTGTTCTTCACCAGGTGTTACAGGTCCAGGTGGTGACACCATCTTGCTCTCCCTTTTCCTTACCTGACTAGGGCTACTGGTCTCCCTAATTTTTCATCAGACACATAGGCTGCAGTAAAAATAACTGCAGAACAGGCTCAAATCAGTCCTTTGTGGGTGTTCATGCAAGTCGATGGGGGTAGTGAAACACCCTGTCCCCATCCCCAGCAGGGCCAGCAAGCACTCAAGTTGTTCAAAGTGCAGAGGCAGTATTCAGTCCTACCTGGGAAGATCAAAAAGGTTGCAACAGTACAATGAAATGTTCCCCGAAGAACTCTGTAATGAAAAAGTCAAGAAAAAATATTCTACTTAGTCAGGAGATACCTGAGTAGTCATGGAAAGAAAAGAGGGGAAAAGCAAAGGTGATGGAGAGAGAATGCATAATTAAACATAAAGGATATAATTTACTGCAAATAATTTAACTGAAAATAAAATGTTACTGAAAATAATTTTTTAACGACACTTTTTTTTTAAACCTGTTTTTTTGGATCAACTCAAAGGGGAAAATCACAGAGAGGTTAAGCTTAGGGATCAGTTAGTTAGCTATTATTCATTTCAGAGCCTGCTGAATTTTAGCAATGTTTATTTTTGCGGAGTCCTGATTTTGACTCTGCTAAAGGTAAGTATACAGGTCAATCAATTACCAGGTAGGCTGAGAGACAAAGGTCAGATATTTTAAGTTATTCATGAAAAGTGCAGCTGGGCTGACTTCCCTTTTTCTCTCTTTCATTCATTTGGCTAATGAGCGTTTAGTTCCTGAGCAGCTCATGGAAGACTGTCCTGATTCCAGATACTGGATGTGCATTTGACACAGTCTCTGAGTACAATGGGGACAACCTGGTGGAGCAGAGAGGCACGGGTACAGAGAAGCAGAACACTGTGGAATGGCCTGTACTATTCTGGTTGTGTGCCCAGGAACTATGGGAATACAGAGGACAGAGCAGGGAACTGCCTGGGAGCTCCAGGAAAGGCCAAACAAGAGGCGGCCTCTGAAAGGGGACTGATGCATCTGCTAAACGACAGGGGGTGGGCTGGGAGTGAAGTCCAGAGGGAATAACTTGACATGGACTCTGTCATGTCCAGGGGATGTGAGAAGTCTGGGGGATGGAAGTGGGATCTGGGGGGCGGGGGGGTGAGGGGGGAAGGACAATGGTAGCAAACGTGAGTCAGGAAGTGAAACTCTTGGATTTTATTCTGAAATGAGAGGTTCAAAAATAGAGGAGGGAGGGTCTTTGAAGATCAGTCTGGAATCACCTTGGTGGCTGCCCAGAGAGGGCTACGCCTGAAGGCAGTGAGAACAGCCAGTAAACCTTAACGTTGGCTGCAGATTGGAATCACTGGGAAGCTTTAAATAGTACTGATGCCACTGCCACCCCTAGAGATTCTGATGTAACTGGGCTGAGGTGAGACCTTAGACTGGGAATTTAACAGGATCCCCAGGTGATTTCAGATGTGCCACTAGGGCTCAGGACCATTGCTCCAAGGAGTCTGGAAGCAAGATTAGCCTCTTTGGGCTGAGCAGTGTGCAATTCTTAGATGACTGAGAACAGAGTGGGAGGAAGCTATAAAATAAAGTACTATCAAGCCTCCTAGTGACCTGAGCAATTGATTTTAACATTTAGAAAAGAGAGTACTTTGCGAGAGACTGAATGACCAGACCATGTACGACAACAGAACACAGACTCATAACCTCTGCAGCAACCAGCCTGGGAAGCCAAGCCACAGCCTCTGTGATCAATGACTGCTGGCCTCCCTAATTTTTATCAAACCCCTCCTACTCGAGACCAACCCCAGAAAGACAAATACACTCCCCAAAGCCATCACATAGGATGCTCCCCTCTAATCAGCCCCACTCCAACTTCCTCAGCCCAAGAGCCGGATCAGAGCATACCTGAAACCTTTGTGTTTTTCACTATAAAGCTCTCCCAGTCCCCAGCCTGCCTCTGAGCCTGTCAACCACAAGTGGCAGACCCTGTCTGAATATATAGCCTCTGCTTGTTGTCATTTGGGTAGTCTTTATTTCTACACGATTACCCCAAGCTTGTGAAGCAGTTCCCCCGGGTTATTCTGGCCACAGGATGACAACTCTCAGGTCTATCATTTCCAGCCCAAATGCTGCCCTGTGCTTTGGAGACATAAAGCCATTTGCCAGCTATGCCTTTGCCATTCCACAGGTCTCCTAAACTCATCATCTCCAGAACAAAACTCATTACAGTAAGTCCCTGACTTACGAACATTCGAGTTGCAAACTTGCACAGATACAAACAGACCTCGCATTACGAACATTCGTAGATGCGAACAAATCGAGGAAGTAGCTCACGTGTCTGCCGGACATTGTCACAGTTGTGCTGCTGTGTGCTTACTGTACAGTGCTCAATCAGAGCCCAGGGTGTCCGGAAGCAAGAGGAAAAGCAGTGGTGATGTGGAGGGGACTGCTAGGAAGTTCAAAGCAATAACCATGGAAACAAAAGTGAAAATGATAGAGATTGGACTGCGGCAAAAAGATGGTAGACGTCGCTCATTCTTATAACATGAATCGTTCAACCATTGGCTTTACGTTGTATATTTGTGTCAAAGGTGTGTAAGGCTCACTTTGTTGGACTTACCAACGAATCTGATTTACGGAACTCGTTCCTAAGTCGGGGACTTACTGTATCTCTGCTCTTCAACTTGCTTCTCTTTCATTCTCTGCCATCCAGTCGGTCATCTGAGCTGGAAATGTGAACTTATTACCCCCTAGATTCCTCAGTGAATCACTAAATCCTCTCAGCTTGACATCCTAAACGTTGCTTTAATCTGCCCATTCCTCTAAGCACCCCTATCACTCTCCTAGTTCAGGCCTTCAAGATCTCTTTCCTGGACCACTGCTCACAGCCTCCTATCTGGTCTCTCTGCCAGGAGGTTCCTTCTCCGTCAAATCTGTTTCCCTTCGGGCTAACAAGGGTCACTTGTCTCAAAAGAAAATGTGGCCATATCATGTTCCCACTTAAAACCTTGCTGTGCAGGCTGAAGGACCAGCCTCACGGGGCATCTGAGAACACGGACCTGACGCACTGCCTGTGGCAGCCCTCTCAGTCACCATGCTCAGGACGCTCCCCCAGACTGGGTTAGGTCACTTTCTTCTCTATTCCCTTAATACCGTCATTACACTTAGCTCTGTGTATGACAAACACCTTCCTCCGCATTTTTCTTTTCTCTCCTAAGCTAAGGGAACTTTAGGGCAGGGACTATGTTTTTTTCTCTTCAATGTCTCATGCAGGGTGTGGTACAGGACAGGTTTTCAGAAATACCTATTTATAAATTTAAAACAATCACATAAACCCAAACTAAAAGCATGAGTACAGACAGGTTTTCACCTCGGCTTTTATATATATTTTTCCACATCTAACTATCATCTATCTTTTTAAATCCTAGCTTCTTACACTATATAAATATAATGCCTACGTGAAATCTTATACACACTAGTATAATATCCTCACTCGTGCTGAAGGAAACCTTTTTAGTGGGTGGGGTATGGAAATAATTACTTACGAAAAGCAAAACAAACCTTGAATACTTTGGCTCCAGGGATTTCCACGATTGGTTCTTCTGAGTAAGAAAGATTCTGCTCTGTAAAAAATTCCTGGATCCCAAGTTCACTGATTTCCACACCAACTACACAGTGTCCTCGGTCTGCGAACCTGTGTAAAACCATATATTTACACTTAAATTTTTATTTCAAATACAGTACTAAAGATATGGATGCCTCAATAAGCACATAATTTCCTTAATTTTAACGGGTTTATATGAATTCAGGTTCATAGGGTTTCATAGAACATGGAAGTCCATAGAAAGTGAATCTATGTACAGTAAAACCTTGGTTTATGAGCATAATTTGTTCTGGAAACATGCTTGCAATCCAAAGCACTTGCATATCAAAGCGAATTTACCCATAAGAAATAATGGAAACTCAGATGATTCATTCCACAACCCAAAAATATTCATATAAAAATGTTTACAATACTGTAATATAACACGAAATAATAAAGTAATACAAAATATAAAGAAAAACAAGTTCACCTGCACTTACTTTGAAAGCCTTCGTGGCTGGTATGAGGGAGACAAGAGAGAGGAAGGTTATGGTGTAGGACGACTCTCACTATCACTAACGCAATCACTGCTATCTATTGGCTCAATGGAACCTTTTTCTTTTCGTGCAACTGTAACAAGGAACCTATCCAATTACACTTGCTTTTGCCTCCTTTTGAGGATTTTGTGGAAATGTGACATTGCATTGTCATTAAACAGATTCATCACTTGCACTGCTACAGCCTTATTCAGATGGTGCTTTTCTACAACATTTTGCACTGTTTCCCACATTTTACACATCTCCCTGATCTCATTTGAAGTGAGGGATTCCTCTGCCGTTTTCTCCTCCTCCTCTGCAGACGAGATCTCCTCCATAGCCTCTTGCTGTTGCTCGCGGTGCAGATCCATCAGTTTGTCGATAGTCCGCTCCTGGCCATGTTCCTCCACCAGCTCTTGAATGTCGTCCTCATTCACCTCCAGCCCCATGGTCTTCCCCAAGGACACAATTTCATCGACAACTGGCAGCTCCTGTCCTTGAGCAAGCCCCTCTAAATCATATCCAAGAATGCAATCAGGCCACAGTTTCCTCCAAGCAGAATTGAGGGTTCTCTTGGTGACCCCATTCCAGGCTTTATCGATGGTCTTGAGGCAGTTCACAAAGTGGAAATGATTTTTCCAAAACTCTCGGAGGGTAAGGTTTGTTCCTTTGGTCACCTCGAAGCATCGCTGAAATAGTGCTTTGGTGTAAAGCTTTTTAAAGTTCGAAATGACCTGCTGATCCATGGGCTGGAGGATTGCAGTGGTGTTGGGAGGAAGGAACTTGACCTTAATGAACTTGAATTCCTCCAGTTAAGTCGTCCTCAAAGCATGAAGGATGAGCAGGAGCATTATCCATAACCAGCAAGGCTTTGAGTGGCAGATTCTTTTCTAAAAGGTCTTTCTTCACTGCAGGACCGAAGACCTCGTTGATCCACTCAATGAACAAGATACGAGTGACCCAAGCCTTGCTGTTGGACCTCCACATAACGTTTAACTGGCTCTTCTGCACATTGCATTTCTTGAAGGCTCATGGATTCTCAGATACACGAGCAGGGGCTTGACTTTAAAATCCCCGCTTGTATTAGCACAAAACGAGAGGATGAGACCATCATTTATGGGCTTGTGATGGGGCATTGCATTGTCTTCTGTCACGTAGGTCCTCTTTGGCACCTTTTTCCAAAAAAGCCCCGTCTCATCGTGGTTAAAAACTTGCTTCTGCAGGTAACACTGAGAAACCATAAGCTTCTGACACTCAGTAGCGAACACCTCAGCTGCCTTAGCGTCCCAACTTGCAGCCTCTCCATGCCTCACAACACTATGGATGCCACTTCTCTTCTTAAAGTTATCAAACCATCCCCTGCTTGCCTTGAAGCCTCCTTCATTTTCTGTTGACGTACCTGGCAGCTTACTTATAAGGTCGGTGTACAAGGTCTTTGCCTTCTCACAGATAAGGTTCTCAGTCACAGTATCACCTTCTAGTTGCTTCTCGTTTATCCAAATCAGAAGCAACTTTTCTACATCTTCCAGAACACATGGCCATTGCTTTGTTATTCTCGTGACTCCTTTTGCTGCATCTAGCTCCCTTATTTCTTCTTTCTTCTTTAATATTGTGCAAATGGTCAATGTAGACTTCTTAGAAAATCTTTCAATTTCAGCCACTCGCATACCCCATTCATACTTCTCAATGATTTCCTTCTTAACTTCCACTGTAATCATCTCCTTCTTCTTATCACCTTTCTTTTCAAACCTTTCTGCATGGGGGCATTGTATACACTCACATGGATGTTGACTACAGTATTAATAAACTCTTGCCATATACTGTATTTAATGTAATTAGCAATAAGGCAGCAGAGGAAAGGGTCTATATCTGCAGGCAGCCTGACCTAGAATGAAACAAAGCATTCCTAGGCTTACTCTTACTTGGAAAATAAAAAAAACTGTCCATAGGTTCTTTGAAGTGACAAAAAATATACTAGTGCCAGTTGTGGGCACCTTCCAATGTTCTGAAAAATCACTGATTTCTGCCAAACACCATGGCCTGAGACCAAGCATCCAAGCATGGGAGACGATCACCCACAATCTGACAGCGAGAGAGAGAGAACCATTGGCTCAGTTGTGATCATGTGACATTCAGCATCACATACTACTCATATTGCAAGATGTCGCTCGTTTATCAAGTTAAAATTTATTAGAAATGTTTGTTCGTCTTCAGGAACACTCGCAGAACAAGTTATTCACAATCCAAGGTTTTACTGTATTCTCAAAGCTAATGTTATATAGAATTCTGAAAAACTGATTTATATGACCTTAGGAAAAAAATGGAAAAACTTGGAAAATAAGACCTCAAAAATGTTGATTTACTACAAATGAATTTGGTTAAAAGAGTTGCTAATTTGAAAACAGCCTATGGACTAGAAATGCTTTGCAATTTCTCTAAATAAGCTCTATCTAGCTCTGTCCATTAAAACTTTCAGTGATGATGGAAGTGCCTATACCTGTGCTGTCCAATCCAGCAGCTACTAGCCACATTGGCTATTGAACACTTGAGATGTACAATAGAGCTATATGTGATTTGATTTAAATTTAAACAGCCACATGTGGCTAGAAGCTACTATACTGGAGCACACAGCACTACACCACTAGCATCCATTACTATAATAATCTTATAATTTCCACCAATTTACAATACACAGTCTCCAGAAATATATTTAATTACCATATGCAAATAACTAGTATTTTACTGGTCAGCATTGTAATTTCAGAATTCACAGACTTATGATCTTGGCCTCCAGAGAAAACAGTGCTACTGGCACAAATGCCTAGGCATAGTATTGATTTTATTAAATAAACACATATAGTCAGTTCTGTTGTAATGCAACATAGGCCTACCTAAAAATTGCAGCACTCTGCAAAAGCATGTGACAAAAATCCCAAGGCTCATGGAAAAGATGAGGGTTGAAGCACAACATTAAAATCTTTTCCACAATGGGGTACTATTCGGCCATAAAAAAGAATGAATTGTTGCCATTTTGTGACAACATGGATGAACCCTGAGGACATTATGCTAACTGAAACAAGTCTCATAGATACAAAGAACAGAATGATAGTTGCCAGAGGCTGGGGTTGGGCACAATGGGTGAAGGGGGTGAAAAAGTACAAACTTCCAGTTACAAAGTAAGTCATGGGGATGTAATATACAGCATGGAGACTGTAGTTAATAATACTGTGTTACATATTTGAAAATTGCTAAGAGAGTAGATCATAAAAGCTCTCATCAAGAAAAAAAAATTTTGTGCTTGCTTCAGCAGCACATATACTAAAATTGGAATGATAGAGAGAAGATTAGCATGGTCCCTGTGCAAGGATGACACGCAAATTCGTGAAGCATTCCATATTCTTTAAAAAAAAAAGAAAGAAAAAAAAATTTTTTTTTGATACTAAGTATTTTGAGAGATGTTAACTATTGGGTTGTCAGAAAAGTCATAACACATTTTTGCAATGAAAAACAGAAAAAATACGTCATGACTTCTCAAACCACCCAATAGATTGTGTTCATTTTGCAATATATAAGAATATCTAACTATGTTGTACACCTGAAACTAATATAATGTTGTATGTCAATTTTACCTTAATTTAAAAATGTTTAAAAAAAAACAACTGTTACACATTTGCCATACTGTGAATCAGGATTTTCTCAATAATATACAATTAAACAAAACTTAGAAATAAATTGGATAAGTACTGCATAAAGAAAAAAAACTTCATCAGTGCCACATTAAAAAGAAAGACAGAAACCTAATAGAAATGATGGCACAGTTTTACTCACATTAAATGGTTATAAAATATACAACAACCTGGCATTTTACCTTGAGAATGACCTGACATTTACTTGTAGAACTGGGCGTTGGAAGGGCTGCAGCTTTCGAGTTATTGTGAATGATGGACAGAGGATTATTGGGAATCAAATGGGGAGTCCTGACTCTAGCTGTGGATTAGAGTGACTCATAGCACACAGGGTGAACTATCTGGGAAAGGCTTGAGGTGTGTGCATATGTGCGTTCTCTCTATTCATACACAACTTAGTTCCACTGGGCATAGTCACCTTCTTTTACCTCGTGTTTCTTGCAGACTAAGCAAATGTGAAATTTATGTCATGCTCAAGTTATTTCTTAATGTATCAATGGAGTTAGAATGAAATTTGCATTTTTCAAACAAGTAGAGCAGAACTAACTGTACTTACTGCCCACACAAGATGACCCACTTTCAGTGTGGTCAGAGCATGAACTGTTTATATAGTTCTAAAATAAACATATTAATAATGTGTCTTTCATATTTCCTAGGAAGTGTATGCACACAGAGAATATTATTCTCCATACATTTTTGAAGTTACAAAATATAAACAAAAAATTAGCTAAACCAGCTGTATAGATTTTCATTTCCATTTAACATATGGAAAAATCAAGCACAGCCTACTATAGATTGGTATAGGCTGGATTATAGTAGAATATATTGCCCTTAAAAAAGATTACCTAACAAACTGTCTTAAACATTTTATTTTAATGGTTTTGGGCATAAGCTCATAGTTTATTCACATCTGATATACATAGAGACCTCAATATACATATTAGCTACATAAATTAAAAGTCCTCTAACATAATAACTTACATGCAATTACAATAATTTAGTTCTGCTATTTTTATTACAATTGGCTTCAGGCCCAAATATTTAACAATCACATTTAATTGGCTGTTTCATTATACCATTTTCTAATCTTGTCTCAAAACCTATGCTAGAGTTAGATTATTAACACTTAGGACACGGCAATAAAACAATCTGTTTATAAAGTTAATGTTTTTCTTGCAGGTAGTTTCCACAGTAATTTTCTTCTGGTTGAGTTGTTAGGGTAAAGTCTAATAATACAGTTGAAATGTTCTCACTTTCATGACCACACTAGACTCTTAAGCCATAGGAGCTAATTCACAAATGCTCTCAGCTATCAGTATTTATCATCAAGAAAGTGTGTTAATGCTTATCTGCTCATACCATTTCATCTCAACTGCTTTTCCACAAAGAGGAAAAAATACCCTCAATCCACTCTTGTCTTTAAGGAAAGTATCCAAATGCTTCTTTAATAGCCTGGGGAGAAAAAAAAATTTTTTTTTGTTTTAATTAGCCCAATGTACAGAAGAAAGGACTACAATTGTATGACGCTAAGTACTTTTCATGCATTATCTCCTTTACTATTCCCAACAAGTTTACAAAGTAGATGGGTAACATTTATTATCATAATCTCCAATTTACATAGAAACAGGAAGGATAAATAACTTGCTCAGTCACATAGCTAGTGAATAGTTAATCTCGCTTACATCTGGGGCTTTCCTGATTAGTAATTTAAAATAAAAAATATTTTTCCTTGGTATGTTTTGAAAAATTTGTATTAATCTCCCAAATGTATGAAGGAGGGAGGGAGGGAGAGAGGGAGAGGGGGAGAGAGAGAGAGAGAGAAGTGGATGTGGGGGAGGCTCTGGGCGCACTGGGTTTTTCAACATTCAGTTTATGGTAAACTCTCTAAATGTGTACTCCGAAGTAGCTCTGAAAAGTTGGAGTTATTCTTGTAGTTAATTCCTCTGTAAAGATGTGGCTCTTCTAATTCAGTTTTTTTTTTTTTTTTTTTTAGCTGAGCCATCCTGCTACCTGTTGGCAGCTCAGTGGCTGCTCAGCTCGGGCTGGACTCGAACCGCTGTTGCTCAGAGCTCAAACTCTTGAGCGAGCTCTTAACCAACTGAGCCACTCGGCCAACCCCAAGATGTGGCTCTTCTAGAGCCATCCACATGACAGAGATAACCCACACAATGGATCTGGGAGGAAGCTCCATCTACCGCTTGGTGTGCAAATGCAATAGTATTAATAGTGTCCCCAGAGAAGGCAGGCGTGGCTGCCTGGAACAAGAAACGTCTGACAAGACCACTTTACTCAGCACTGCCGCGTGATTTCTTGCCGCTGTTTGAAGCCTACTACTACTACTACTACTATGTGGTTCAACATCCTAGCTCACTTACTAATTTCTCTCAACTACTCTTCTACCAGATAGAGAATACTTGAACGTTTGAATACATGCTACTGGAAAGGAAAAGTCAGAACACTACTACTTTTCAGCATAAAGAAATATAAGTATTAATGTTGCTTGAGCATCTGTTGTTATGTACAAATATACATGTCCAATACATAGATGCTATAGGGGGCTTTTTAAAAAGCCATATTTCATAAATCTAAGATGCCTTCAATTGTAAGTCACACCGTTATTTACACTCCATGGGAAGAGATAACATTGCAATTCACCTAAGACATGTAACAGATGCACTGTGCTTTCAGAGATGCTAAAATGTGAAAAACTAAAAATGTACATCTTAAAATCAGTCAAATAATGTGTACCTATATTATTATTTCTATTTCCAAAGTCAGTTTCTGATAGAGCATTTTTCTGTTATATACCAAACATTTCTTACTGGTGTCCTTGTTCTTTATGAAATCCAATTTTGTGGTCCACCCACTTTTCTTGCCATTCTTCCAGAGTTAGGACCCGGTTCTTCTGTACCTCAGTATCGGGGTACTCTTTACTATCAAGTAAAGTTCCTGTATTATCCATAGTTTCGTGGACACTTTTGTCTCATAAGCAGATGTCTCCAATGCCTAAATGAAAAATATTTGCAATGTTGACATTTGAGGGCACTGCAATTCCATTGGGGAATGAAATAAAAACCATTATCCTCAGCAGTATGGTTGTTTGGTTGTTTTAGACATTTTATTTATCCTTGAAATTTCATGTAGGTTTATTTCTTTAGCACCAACTATTTGATATTCATTTAATTTCAAAAAAATTTATCTGTCCTACTGACATTTTTAAAAATTAGCTTCAGGTGTACAAAACAATGTAATAGATACTTACACCCCTCACAAAGTGATAACCTCCTCCCCAAATCTACTATCCCTCACAAAGTGATAGCAGTATGGCTTTTAAAAAATATTTCAACATCCAAGGAAAAGCCATACAAAAAATTACTTGTCAGTCTGATGGTTGAGGCATACTTCATATTACACATTAGGAAAGATCTTTAAATAAACTGAATTATATCTTAACACTAGAGTAAAAGGGTTTAAGTTTGAAAAAAGGAAAAAACTAAATAGGCATTCAATACTTTATAACTTTTGCAAGCTTAGAATTTTTTCTAGCATCACAGTTACTCTTTAATTTTAAAAATTTCTTTTAATGTTTAATTTTTTATTAATGTTATAATTCACACAACTTAAGAGTTTAAAGTTATGAAAATAACACTCTCTACTGCCAATAAAAGAGGCAACCATCTTTAATTCTTTTTAGCTGAGTCTTAAAATCTAACTCTCTATCTCAAAATAACAAGTTTATTTTGTATCTTCTTGATTTTTCATTTCTAGGTAGCTTCTAGTGAAGATAAGCAGTTGATTGTCCTTCCACTTCCCAAAACACACTCACACACACACACACACACACACACACACACACACACACACACCCCTTCTCATTTTCCCCATCCTTTCAATAGAGACATAGCAAAAGTTTTTTTTTTTAAGATTTTATTGGGGAATTAGGGGGAGGGAACAGCATTGGGGAATCGGGAAAAGGGAACAGACAAGTTGCTGTCCTTTTGTTCTTCAGTCTAGTTGTGGAGGATGTCGCTTCACTGGCTCATGTTGGTATAATCATTGCACTCTGCCAAGGTGAGGCAGATTGGTCGCCGGCCACTGGATGGCCACTTACCGTGGCTCTTGGCATCTCACGCCGGCTGTCAGCCACTCAAGGTAGCTTTACAGCAGCCCACTGCAGCCACTGCAGCCCACGCCGTCGCCGGGGACTCACGGCACCCCAGCTCCAGGTCGAGCTGTTGTTCACCATCTCATCTTAGCTGTAGAGGGCACAGCGTCACTGGCCCTCATACGTGGGATGGGAACCAGGGCCCTGCTGCTTAGAGCTGGTGTCTCAAGCCCTTAACCAACGTGCCACTCAGCTGGCCCGCAAATTTTTTATTAAAATGTGGAGTACACACATTGTGACTCAGTAAATACTATTCACAGCTAAGGCACGCAGAATTCTATGATTATTTTTCCTTTGCCATATAACTTTTTTATTCTGTAGTTAATTACTGTCTTGCTTTTTCATTTATAAAATTTGGATTATATGAGCATGCTATTATTTGAGTCCAATTTAATGATTTATTCATGAGAACAGCAAACATTGCATAAAAGCAGATGTTTCAGGGAAATTTCCCTTTTTTGCAAAATTTGGCTTCAGTGTGCTTAAGAAGGCACATCCCTTGGAATTGAGAATATAAATTCACTTCTCAGCAAACATGTCCTAACAAATGACTTTCGTAAAGCCCTGATAATGTCAGGAGGAGACTCAGTTTTCTGAGAGGTCAAGGGGGAAGTATCTGATTATATTGGATACAGAAAAGCAAAAGAGAGTTGCTGTTTTCCCATCTCCATTTTGAGCCAGAAATTTTGTAACCTAAGCTTGAGCCTTCATAAAACAGTTCTCTACTTAAAACAAAGGGGAAGCATAATTTTATCATAGCGGCAGGGCAACCTGGAATTGTACAACTCTATCCCTCTCACACAAACCTGAAATATAACTTAACACTGTGAATATAATTTAATAATTTCTTAGAGGTTCTAATAGCTTTTTAACTTGTTCATGACATTTTCTGGAGAAATAAAAAATTTATTTCTATAACAAGATAGAAGTGCAAATTATAAGAATCAGGAAAGGCAAGTTTCACTATCATTTCTACCTGTATACGGAAATAAAGATATGCTAGTTTGGTCGCTCAAGTCCTGGGTGGGTGGACTCCCAAGTTTAGTTTCCTTCCTTATCTTTACAAAAAAACCCAGCATGTTTCTGCTTTAGATTTATTTTTAAACTTTGTTAGATTGAAGAATAACTTCCGTACAGTGCATCGATTTAAGAGTATGGCTCAGTGAATTTTTACATACGCATACACCTGTGTAACCACCATGGGGTAACATACGAAATATTTACAGCACCCCAGTTTCCTCCCCTGCAGCCCCAGTGCATCACTCACTATTCTGACAAGTACTTCTCTTTTCTTAAAAAATCACTAATACACAATACTTTAGTTTCACTTTAAATCATGGAACAGCGAGGTCGTTATTCCCAATTCCCATTCCGCTCCCTGAACCCCAATTTAGGGAGCGTATTGCTGGGCCATCCATGCTTTTTAGGTTGCCTCATTCTGTAATCCTATCACACGCTCACCTAGCAAAACCGTTCCATTTCTCAACCTCACCCTCTCTGCACCCGGGTGAGCCTACCTTGCGCGCCGCCGGGGTCCTACAGCTGACTCTGCGCCGCGGCGGGCCGGGACTTAGGGGACCGTGCACCCGCACACCCGCGCCAGCTCCCCGCGCCCCGCCTCAGTCCCGCCCCCTGGTCTGCCCCCTCACCAGCGTCCAAACCCCTCCCTCTTCGTACGCGCTCGGGATTGCGCAGCGGCGGAAATGGCCAAGGCGGGGCGAGCGCCGCGGCGGAGGGGAAGGCGGGGACCCTACTCCTCCTTGCTCCCGCCGGCTCCTCCCACCACAGGTCACGCCGTCACAGGGGCGGAAGCGGCGGCGGCGGCCGAGCGAGGGCTGCGGCTCGCGGCGCGGATCCTGCACTCCTGTGGGCGCGGCGCGCGGCTCCAGAGAGGCGCCTGCAGCCCGGGGCGGCGCGCACCGTCTCGCAAACGCTCCGAGGTGGGGCGCACGCGGCTCCGGGGGCGAACGTGGGGACAGCGGCGGATTTCGGGTGACAGCTCTGCACAAAGCAGCTTGTCTGGGGTGCAAGCCTTCCTCCCCCTGTGCAGCGCCCCTCGCCGGGTGGGAGGTGCACGGATGCCCTAGGGGCCGATACCTCCCTCACCAAATTGGAAGCGGGGTGCGGGGTTGGGTTCCCTGTCTAAGGAAGAGGAATTCCCGGACTGAGGTGTTGCGGCGACGGGGTGCCCCGATTCGTCGCGGTGTTGCGGGTCGCTCCTAACCCTCCACAACGTTTGCTTTCTGTACAGCGGTGCCTTCCCCCCGCGACTCCTCGTACCTCTTCAGCACGCAGGTGAGCCCCGGAGGCTGTTGCTTCTCCGACTTCGGAGAACAACCGAGAAAGCTTTTCGGAAAGCGAGGCGGCTGCAGCTGGCACAGAGAACGTTAGAGCTCCCTCCTGGGGACTCTTAGAGCCCCGTCACCTGCAGAGTGTGTGCTACGTGAGAGAAAACCCGTAGTCCGGAGTAGGAACTCCCTGGTTGGTTCTTCCCAGCCGAGAGCGTGGCGGCGAGAAGCCCCACAGCCTTGCAGGTGTGGTAGTAAATGCTCCGGGCACGGCCGCCACCACGCATTGAGATATGATCGGCATTGCCAGGTTGCTGGGGTAACCCCTCCGGGACTGGGAACCCAGAAGGGGTGGCCCGATTACGGCAGCTGTTAGTCAACAGGCTTGCAGGTGGCAGGTGAAACAGGAAGGAAGTGGCAGGCCCAGCTGTAGAAAGTTGGGGTTCGGTGATATGGAAACTAGTCAGAGGCCCAGGCTTCTCTTGGGTGAGCGTGCAGGAGTCCATAGACCAGCCCATTTGGGGAGCTCTATCATGCCACACACACACACCAACTCAAAGCTTTTGCATTTTGGTTCTTTGGTTGTTTAATCTATTTCAGTGGAATAAAGGCGAGTGAGAAGGAAGGTTTCTTCAGGAGGCACATAAGAAAATGACTATCAATAATTAATCGTCTTCCAGTCAGGGAAAGCAATCAACAAAGCATTCAAGCAGTGGAACTGGATCTATATTTAGGAAAATTTGGTTAGTGTGGGTGCAGTAAGGTGCCAGTCCTGCCTTATTTTAAGTGCCCCAAAGGGAAATTCCTGTTTCTGTTGTCTGAAAAAGTTTCTAGTAGTTTAGAAATTATGCTGATGCCACTATAAATTTTTATTCCAACCTGAAGTGATTTTGATTTATATTTTTATAAATAGTGTGTTTTTTAAAAAAACTTTTTGAATAAGCTACTTCAGAAAAAATTCCGGAAATTATTAAAATAGAAATCTAGACATTGATATGTCCACTTATATATTTACCCCCCCCAAAAAAAACCCTCTTTTTTTCTTTCTTTTGTCACATTAAAAGAACTAAAGCTATGAATTTTAAATTAGGAAAAAATATGCTTATAAAATTATATTGAACATAAAGCAAATTACATTTAAAATTAGGTGTGCGTATTAATTTGAAAAAGTAGGTTGAAAAGTACTTCGAGTATACTGATTTGTTTTCATGTCACTTTCGATCAGTATATCTAATATTATATTTAAAAGCACAAAAACCATAGTCCTTGCAACATTACTTAAAGTATTTTTGCCCCAAGAACCCAGCAACAGTGAAAATACAGAAATTACAACAAGTGTCAAAACAGGATGAGGGTGCTTTATTGTATAATTAAAAGTGAAAATGTACTTTTAATTGTATAGTATTAATTTAATTGTATAATTAAAAGTGAAAATGTACTACCCTAAAAATCTTCAATCACATTTTTCCTGGGCAACAGATTTAATAATGGTTTTTGTAGCTAATGTTTTCATTTCCTCTTAACCATTTGTTGATTTACATCATTCTTTATTGCAATTACATATATATTTTCTAGTATATAGTTGGACTTAAATCAGTTTGATGAAATTTCTGTAAATTATGTTTTTTCTCGGGATTGCTTGCATTCCTAGATGACGGTCAAATGTTGCATGAACCTAGGCTGATTCTGTTCCTAAATCCCACATTAGACTCAAATGTTTTTGCTGCAGTACTTAAATATACTATACATTTACAAATATTATTTTTACATATGCCTGACTTGTGGTTCATTTTATGAATAATGTGGGATATATGTTTTATGTAAAGAGATTTGTAATTATATTGGACAGCCTTTTGAAAATATAAATATGATCCAGAAAGCCTTCTTTGAGTTTAGCAATTATAGGGAGGCAGTAGTACTTTTAACATTACTAGTGTTTTATGCAGCAGTAGCCAAAGTGCTGTAGAACTAAATGGCAATTTATTTAATGCTTAAAGAACTATAATGCATTTCAGAATATGTATAGAGTTTATGTGTTCACAACTAAGAGAAAGTGAAAAGTGAGTGAAAGGAAAATCATAACATTGGTGTCAAGATTTCTCAAAGTCGATATAGCTGGCCTACTGAAAGTTTTCACACATGATGTTAATAATCCATGAGAAAAGCTCTTACGAGTGTTAGTAGAACTCACAGATAGGAAACAATAGGATTACAAGCCCCTCAAAGCTTTTCTTCAAGATTAAGATTATATATAGGAATACCTCGATTTTTTGCGCTTCATTTTATTACACTTCGAAGGCATTGCAATTTTTTTTTTTTTTTTGCCAATCAAAGGCAAGACCCTCACCAGAAAAAGTTTACAATTCGCTTTATTGCAATACTCGCTTCATTATGGTGGTCTGAAATTGAACCCGCAATATCTCTGAGGTATGCCAGTATGTGGAATTTGTATCTTATGATAACACTTTTCCACTTGCAAATTTCTTATCCATAGGTACATCCTTTTTATTTTGAGTGTATATGTGTGTGGTAAATACAGTGGATTGGGGAAGGAGATGTGCAATAATTGTAGAATTCATATATTGAGTTCTTCTGCTAAGCATTTTCATTTCTTATCTAACCTAAGTGAAAAAATACTAATTTGATAACTCAGTCTTTCATGGTTCCTGTGCATTAGTTTTCATGTAGACTTTAACCATGCTTTGATTATACTAGTTTGAAAACTCACAAAATTTCCAGTAGAAGATAACTATGTAGCCCAGATTCCTCTATTCAGTAGTAATTAGTTGGTGTAATTAGGTGGTGTGCCTGAGATTTATTTTGTTGAGGCAAAAATGAGGTGTTTTTACACTAGTGTAATTTATTTTTTGGTCATTGGCGTGGTATTTTTCTCATTTTTGTATTTTTAAATGTGCATACTACTAGTGGATAATGTTTATTGACTTTATATGCCAGGCCTGGTGCTTTAAATAGATTATTTAATTCTCACATCAATGCTATGATACACTCTTGCCATGCCCATCTTATATATGAAAACACAAAGTACTTAGAGAGGTTAAGTAACTTGAAAGCAATGGCTTCACACTCGGGTAGTTTAACTGCAGAGCATATACTGTTACCTACTAAACAGCATAACTTTGCTCCAGAGTGTTGAAAATATTAGCAAATGCTAATATTTAATGGTTTGTTTGTTTATTTATTTATTTTCTTTTTGCAGGTTTTCTGATACAATGGCAGCCCCACGGGGGAGGGCAAAGAAAAAAGCATCTTTTGATCATTCTCCAGATAGCCTTCCTTTGAGGAGTTCCGGTAGGCAGGTATTATTCATTTGTTCATTCAGTGCACCTGTTTTGAACACATAGAATTATTCTGATTGGGACTGAAGAATTAGAAATGAAAAGATATAATTCCAGTCCTCAAGGAACTTGCAGTGTAGTGGAGAGATTCACCCCGGGACAATCACAGTACAAGATGATAAAGATTGAATGTAGAAAAAGGCATACTGGCAGAGGGAACTGCAAAGCTGAAGGCATAGAGTTTGCATCAACATGGGGTGTTCAGAAAATCGCTACTGTGTGGTTGCCTCCAGCATGTGCGCTGGGGCCAGATCTTGCCCCAGGAATTCAGAGGAATTCAAATTCATAGGAATCTGGACTTCAGTTTGTAGTTGGTTGGGTGCTCTTTATAGGTTATTGCTGCCATCTGTAAGACTATTTTTTTCCCTAAAGAAAATCCTGAATGATGTAATTCTTTTTCTAGAATCATTCTAGTTTTTGTTTGTTTATTTGTTTTTGTTGTTTTTTTTTATCTGCAATACTAAGAGAATGTAACTGCTCTAAGAAAAAAAAAAATCCTAAGTTTAAAGTGGCTTTTATTTTGACCAATACAGCTTTTTCCTAAGAAAGGCTCACATGCATTTTAGTTCTTGGAGACCTGTTGTTAAAGTTCTGGTTCTATATTTCCATCAAGTTAGTGAATTATTAGTGAACAGTTTCAAGGAAATTGCTATATTGTCAGCCCCTAACCTACTTCCAGGATGCTGTTGATCTTCATGTGTAGAACTCTTTCTAACTTGGAAGTTATTTCAGTAGAAAACCTTCCACCACATTCACCCTTGGCCATTCTGGGGAAATCTTAATCTCAGCTGGTTCTTCCTCAGGCAAAGAAAAAAGCAACAGAGATGACAGATGAGGATGAAGACGGTGGGTCAGAGAAGAAGTACAGGAAATGTGAAAAGGCAGGCTGTACAGCAACGTGTCCCGTGTGCTTTGCAAGTACTTCTGAAAGGTCTGTTTAAATGGCATGTCTTGGCCTCACATTCCTGCCTTG